ATGGGCTTTATGCACAGCTGGTGTTTTTCAGCCAATGATAAACTTCCGGTGAGAGAATTATGTGACTATTTTCAATTTCATAAGGGTCCTTTTACAGCATCGATGTTGTAATGTTATTAATCAGTTAAATAGACTTAAGCATGGTTTCCGCTACATTCATTCTTCAATAGCAGGGCGCAGTGCCAAAATTGATCCCCCCACAACTACATTATTTTTATTTATTTATTTATTTGTTTATTTGGCAGGGACAGTGTACATTAATTAGCATTTCTGCCAATGCACCAGAATTAGCCCGAAGGCTATTTTTCATCTGTTGTCCCTGAACAACCTAGAAAAAACAATACAAAAATTATACAATCAATCAAACATAGTTAAAAAGTACTAAAATAGACATGGTTATGTCTAATTTACAAATTAAGCTAAAACACCAACAGCTTTGGTGTTTTATACAGCTTTTCATTCAAAACATTCAGTCGTGTTGTTTTTAATAGCTATAATTTAATAGCTTTAATTTGATAATTCACCAAAACATATTAAAAGGTAAGTGAATTATAGCGCAATCTTTTCTGTAACCGTAGTGCTGTGCGTTATTTATTTAACCTTTTAAGGTTACATGCTGACTGACTGACTGGCTGACTTACAGGTGCGTGATGTGTGAGGCCAGCAAACACGATGTATAGCCGTTTCACTTTACTTCAGGACGCATTAATACCGCTCTGTAGGTCTATTGGAGACATTTATAAATATTCCTAGCAAATCTAGTAAATGTTGGAGACATGTTACATAAATGCACTAAATTGAACTCAGTAGCGTTTATTTGAGAGCGCACAAGAAGATCTCTGCTTGAGCAGCGTATATTTGAGAGAGAGTACAAGAAGTTTTGTGCACAAGCAGAGGAAATCGGCGCGCAAGCAAAGAGATTCCCATGCTCTCGTAGGCTATTACATAAATGCGATCTCGACTTCTAATACTGCATTCACAACATTTGTCATTGAAATAACGCCACAGGTAGTTGATCTGTGTAAAAAAAGGCCTGCCCCATAGCTGGAAAAAATCCTAGAGGAAACACTGCTTAAGCAATCATTTAGTTAAAGTGTAAAAAGAGATGAGATCGTTTAAAAGTAGGCGCCGTCATTAGCAGCAGGCTACCTCAGAAATTCCATTGGAGATACTTCATATCGTATCTCAGCCAGGCAGTAAAGATTGCTGGTTTTTAAAGAAATCAGATGTTAAACGGATCGATTTTGTATGAGATATGACAATTAACCGGAAGCTCTGGGGCTGGCTGACTGAAATTAAAAGTCAGTGTGCATATACCCTATTTTTTAATTCACACATAGGCTAAGATTTCACAGAACAATACAAAATAACATTCAATTTACATTTATTTCTATAACGCTTTTACAATGCAATGTAGTGATAGTGATAATGATAGTGTCAAAGCCGCTTAACATAGAAGTTCTAGTAACAGCAAAATTCTCTTTTTGTCTAATTTTCTTTTACATAAGGATTAAAAATAGTTTTACGATTTTTAAAAAAATGTTTGAATCCATTTGAGCTTTTTTATTTAAAGCAGTTTCTATTTAAAGCTTGACTAAGAGCGACGGAAAAATAAAATGTGCTATTTTCTTGGTTAATATGAGTATGAACTACAGTATTCTCCTTCCAGGTTTAATAATCAAAGAAGTTTGCTGGCGTACCATGGCTGCAGCAGGTACATGATATTACGCAGCACCTAAATAAATAATCCCCAGATAGTAACATTAGTATCATTGCACCTGCTGCAACCATGATATGCTAGAAAAGTTCCTTCTTAGGCTGGAATGAGAGTAGTTCCTAGCTACAAGAAATTGACCTGGAAAAGAGCTAAATTCCATGTTTTTTGTTTTTTTTTTGGTCTAAGTACACAGCACAGGTAACTACAGAAGAGTAATCTTTTCTAAAAGAGGTAATATATCAAAACTCTTTTTTTGAGTGAGATGCTAATGGTCTAATCTGATTCAATGATCTATGCTAAGCTAAGCTAAAATTGCTCCCGCCAGAGATATGCGAAGTGGATTCAAAAATGGTAAAACTCAACTGTTTAACTTTGTAACTTTAAATTAGCCTCTTTCCAAAAAATTATCTGTACCATGTACCAAACACCATGTCTTTTTAAACCAATATTATCTGTCTTTAAAAAATGTTTGCTTAATGTGCTGAAATCAAATGAATACTAGGATAATACAACTTATGTCTCATCACATTCAATTACAAACTTGCTTGATTAATCATGTAATATTGTAATACACAACTTAAAATTCCTAAATTAAATTTTGATGATGTTACAGCTTGTTGTGCATGTCTTGAAATACATAAAAAAATGTAATTTTCAGCTAACATTAGATATATATCTTACCTCACAGTCTTTTCCCATTAAAAATTAACCTGAATTGAAGCTTGTTTTTCAAACACTAAAGCACCGCCTTCTTTGATTTGTTTGGCAATCATTTTCAGAACCTGTTGTCATTCTAACACCAAGTGTCTACATCAGTTATTGGCCTGGTTGACAAAGTAATACTTTTATAAAAACAAAAATGGGGTTAATCAAGGGATAGTTCACCTAAAAATGACATTTCTGCCATCGTTTTCTCTTGTCCAAACCCTATTTGATTGTCTTCTGTCAAAGCTCAAAAATGCAGCTAACTTCCACAGTAATTTGTATTTCCATATGGAAGTTGATGGGTGCCAGCCACCAGCATTCTTCAAAATATCTTCTTTTTAAAGAATAAACTCATAAATGTTTAAAACCACATGGTGGAGAAAAAATGAGTTATTTTTCATTTTTGGGTGAACAATCCAACTAGAAAATAATCATTAAAAGAGTCTTTCCCATAGATAAGTAATGCACTTAGTTCTACAGTCCTCAAGTTAGATTTGTGTGAGAAAAACAAAATGCATAATTCAGATACAATGAATGACAAAGAGCAGCTATTAATATTTTGTTTATGTGTTTCATGGAAAAGACAATTATATATGCATCAACTGATTTAAAAAAAATCAAAACAAACCAAAACAACAACAACAACAACAGGATGCAATAACAATTAATAGATCATTTATGCATTAATCAATGAACACAAGCAAATAAATCTAATTAAAAAAACATTACAATGCATTGTGTTGCAGGAAATATGCAAATGTTAAGCTCATTTTTGCATAGAGCCAGGTGACACTGACTGCAAAATAAACAGAGTCATGCTGACCTCACCCAGCTTGTTTGCCTTGTAAATACCTTCTAAATGGCATTTCATTTCTAACAAAACAACTCTGAAAGCAATAAATATATTGTAAAAACTTGGGCTAGGCTATAAAAAAGTCTGTAAGAAAAACTACTCGACAGTAAAGATTTTATTAGAAAAATGTGTATTTACATACGTGAAATAACATGAGGTCTAAAAAAATCTGTAATAGCTCACTTAAACATCTTTACTCAAACTTTTAAATCATTCATTACTCTGGTTCTCCCATCAGTTTTAAAATTCACTTTTATTTAAGTAAAATATAAGGTGAAACACTCGCATTTTAGACACAAGAAAAACATTCACTATATAGAAATAGTTTTAAGAAGTACAAACAAAACAACACTCATCAGATATCTAGTGTTTTCTTTTATTTGTTACTCAGACAGCTCTATTTATGCGTATTTCCCTTTTTTAAATGGCAGTTTAATCGAAAGTGCATTTTTAATTATATCAAACATATATACATTTTTGTATAAATACATAAAATACATGAAAATCCTGGCTTGTAAGTCATTAAATGACATTATTATTATTATTATTATTATTATTAAAAAATTTACTATTGTTGAATGTACTAATGTTCAATTCCTCAGATAACTTAAAGTATTCATAAACCAGGTTCCCCCTCCTTCATTTTCACATTCAATTTACTTTTAAAATCTAAAGTGCTTTTAAATTCCAACAAAAATACATATGTACATTTTAAACAATGCATACAAACTAGTGCTGGACAAAGATTAATTATAATTAATCACACCCAAAATAAAAGTTTGTTTTGACATAATACGTTTGTTCATTATATATTTTAGTGTCATATGTATTATATTATGTTAAATGCAATACACACATACATAAAAACAAATCTATAAACAAACTCTTTTTAGCATAGATATGTAACCCACTGGTCCTACTGCAGGGGTGTCCACACTTGGTCCTGGAGGGCTGGGATCAAACCGGCAACTCTCCACATGGGAGTCGTGGTTCTAACAAGGGGGCTAAAGACCACAGCTTCTAGCGCCACTAGGAGTGAGGTTTACCTGCATAGGACTTTGCTAGCTGGCCTTTGTTACACTCACCCCCTAACCCTCTCTCCCATCCCTGATGAGCCCCCACATCAGTCCTACTGCACCCAATCCGGTCTGAGCTGGGATCGAGTCTGCGATAGGGTATATGCAAAGCTAGTGTGTTTCCCACAGGTTTCTCATACCGATAAATTTCCAGTGACCTGTTATTGTGTTTTTTTCCATTTTATTTGGTTTCTTGTACAGCATCGATGTTGTAATGTCATTGGAATACAATTAGTTAAACAGACTTTGACATTAATTTAGTTGCTCAAGCGTAAAACGAGACACAAAGCCGTTTACTCGCACACACCCGTCATAATCGGCAGGCTAGTGCAGAAGCACCATTAAATATATTGGGGTAAAATAAATGCTCATATTATAAAGACATGGGGGGGGGAAATGTAATTTAATGCAGTGCTTTTTGTACAATCTGAGACCCACTTTATATCAGATATCACTCCGCCAGTGGAGATTGCTGATTTTTAAAGAAAACAGACCTTAAACGCACCGATTTTGCATTGGCATTCAGTTCACCGGAAGCAATTAACCCAGGTTAATGGCAAATTAAAAGTCCTATTAGCATGCTTCAGCATATACCCCATTGTTTGTATAGGAGTTGGTTGCTCTAACAAGGAGGCTAAAGACCATGGCCTTTAGCATCTGTCGCTAGAACACCTTTAGGGGTCAGAGGAGTGAGGCTTACCCCCATAGCACTTCACTAGCTGGCCTTTGTTACCCTCACCTCCTTAACCCCACTCCCATCCCGAATGAGCCCCCACATGTAATTCACTGGTCCTACTGCACCCAACCCGGTCTGAGCTGGGATCGAACTGGCGATTCACACAGCACACTCTATATATTATGTCAAAACAAACTTTTATTTTAGATGGAATTAATCTTTGTCCAGCACTAACAAAACTAACAAAAACATTTGACATTTTTATCGAAAGACTAAAAAATCCTACATTGATACTATTGAATATTTACTCTGGTAAAATGGCCAGTAGGCCAGGCAGTTTGGCAGTGAATGGGTTTGTAAACATATGTGGACATGCTGCTGTCATTAAAGAGCTGTATTGTCTATTTTTTTCTCTTTTACTTTTTGTGAAATTAAGTTCTGTCTGCTTGAAAGAGTTGGATCATGTGTTTTGGATCTTTGTGCTGGTCCTTTTACCATCATAAAGTTATTGGATACTCGCTTTCCAATGAGATAAGCCATTTCACAGATGCACATGAAGATGCAGACCACACTGGAAATCACCATGAAGAGTATGAAGATCTTCTTCTCTGTGGGACGAGAGATGAAACAGTCCACTGTATTTGGACAAGGATCCAGCGAGCACTTGACAAGGCGAGGAAGATCAAAGCCGTTATACAAGTAATGAAGAATATAAAGAAAACCAGCGTCGACAATGATTTTAATGAGCAAGCTCAGCAGGTAAGTCCACCAAAGACCACCACGCTTTTTTCCAGGGTTGGCGTATAAATGCTCTCCCTCATGGACGTCTGTGTACTTCTTGTTTTTGTCTTCTCTGAGTTTGACGTGGGCTATGACCATGAGCGACGGACATGTGACGAAGATGAGCTGTAATGCCCACAGATGGGTGTGAGAGATGGGGAATGTGGTGTCGGTGCAGACGTTGGCACAGCCGGGTTGCCTGGTGTTGCACACTAAGTTTTCGTCACCCCAAACGCGTTGAGCTGCCACTACAAACACCAGGACGCGAAACACAAACACCACGGATAGCCACACTCGACCAAACACGGTCGAATATTGATTGACCCCGCTCAGAAGGGACTGCAATCCCGACCAGTTCATTCCTGATCACAAGCGACGTCCTGAAATGTATGACAAAATTATTACTTTTTTTTTTTTAAATCACAGAGACAGGACATTTTTTTTAATCATTTTTGGTTTTTTTATTAAAGCTTTTGAAGTCATTATTATTATTATTTTTAACTTTTAACAAATTAACAAAAACAAAACAAAGCATTCAAATTATTATAAAGCCATATAAATAATTATATAAATAACAAAGCAATTTATATAATTATATAAACAATTTGATTAAAATTACAAGTATATAAATAAATAAATGCACATACATATATAGACACAAACAATATAAAGGTATCTAAACAATGGTAAACTGATAGCAGATTATACAAGTTTTTTGGGCAAGATTTTTATCAGCTTTCTTCAGAAATCCTATAAAGGGATTCCAAATTTTGTTTATTATTTTTTTTTTTAACACCTGTTTATACGTTATTTTTCTAATGCCATACAATTTTTACAACCATTGTTTAAAAGGAGAGCTTTCTGTATTTTTCAACCCAGGCTCATTCTGATTATGTACCCCTACATACATTTCTGGAGAGCGCCAAATATGTCCCAGGAGCTACATTTTGTTTTCGCGAATCCACAAGTGCTGTGTACACTTTTTGAGATCTCAAATTTCTCTCGCGCCTGCTGTTCTCATGCAAATCCTTTTGACTGACTGACTGACTGTCGACTGACTGATCGGCTGACCCGCCCTCCTCCTTCCCTAAACCCAACCAATAGTGTTTTCAAAAGCACCGATTGACCCGCCCACTCATAAAAGCCCTCACCTGATTTTTACCACGTTTTCAGATTCTCACCCTGTTATTTACTTCTTTATTTTATTTTTTAGCTTCTGTTTTTGTCTTACCCGCTTTCTGGAACCGTTCCTCACCAGATTCGAACCCTGTTGTCGTGGTTGACTTCTCTCTGCATCTCAAATTCGCCAATGTACATGGCGAGCCTCCGGACAAACTGGTAACAGCAGGAAAGCTGTCCGTACGGAGGTAAGCTGTCAGCTGGTAAGCGCCACAAGGAACGGCATCATACCGCCCCGTTGCATTCATTTTAAAAACAAAATGCAACCATACGTACTTCTGGCTACATAATTCGCAATCTACAGAAATGTATATAGGGCTTCATTTTCAGAACGAGCCTATGTTGATTTTTTTTCCTCAATGACGAGCTATTGTAAGTGTTTCATGTAATAAACAGAAGATCAACAATTTCTTATCTGAGCTTGTGCAGGAAAGAAACAGGACATTTTAGTTTGGGTCATAGAATCTCTTGACAACCGGTGTCATAAAAGTATAGCTCTAAATTTAACCAAAAACATAATGGCTTTTCATTATGTCTTTGTGTGTGTTACTTGATTATCTTTTTAATTAGCCAGTGGAGATTTACTTCTTTGATTAATCTTTAAACTCCGCAGGCATTCAGGCATGCAGAACAGGTACTCCAGATTGTGGCTTCGGAGTGTTTTTAAATGGAAGTTTGCGACAGGTAACCTTTTTTGGAAAAAAAAATGTTTTTTTTTTTAGCAATGATCGGGATGACACATTTTCTGAGTAACAAGGCAGTGTTGACAAGGTTTTATAAACATGCATTTCACCTGCTCATTATAAATCTTTGCTGCTTTAATTTGCAGGCAGAAATGTGGATTTGTCACGCTGCCGGATCACACCTGGGTTTGTCACGACAAGATGTCTCATAGCTGCTTCTAGTTTTATATATATACACTGTTGAAGTCAGAATTATTAAACACCCTAAATTATTAACGCACTTGTTTATTTTTTCCCCAATTTCAGTTTAATGGAGAGATCTTTCAAATAAATTTCTAAACATAATAGTTTTAATAAACAATCTCTAATAACTGATTTATTTTATCTTTGCCATGATGACAGTAAATAATATTTAACTAGATATTTCTCAAGACACTTCTATACAGCTTAAAGTGACATTTAAAGGCTTAACTAGATTAATTAGGTTAACTAGACAGGTTAGGGTAATTAAGTTATTGAATAGCGATGGTTTGTTCTGTAGACTATCGGAAAAACATATAGCTTAAAGGGACTAATAATTTTGATCTTAAAATAGTGTTTAAAAAAATGTAAAACTGCTTTTATTCTAGCCGAAATAAAACAAATAAGACTTTCTCCAGAACAAAAAATATTATCAGACATACTGTGAAAATTGCCTGTTAAACATAATTTAGGAAATATTTTAAAAAGAAAGAAATCAAAGAGGGGCTAATAATTCTGATTTCATATATATAAAGTTGGAAATATTAGCCTCCTGTAATTTTTTCCCCAACTGCTGTTTAAAGGAAAAAATATATTTTTTAACACATTTCTAAACACAGTAGTTTTAATAATTATTTTTAAATAACTGATTTCTTTTATCTTCATCATGATGACAGTAAATAACATTTAACTAGATATTTTTCAAGATACTAGTATTCAGCTTAAACTGCAAATTAAAAGCTATCTAGGTTAATTAGGCAAGTTAGGGTAATTAGACTAGCCATTGTACAGCAGGGGTTAGGTCTGTAGACAACTGAAGAGGGCTAATAATATTGACCTTTAAAAAATTTAAAAACTGCTTTTATTCTAGCCAAAATAAAATAAGACTTTTCCCACTAGAAAACACATAATAGAAAATTCTGTGAAAAATTAATCTGTGATTATCATAAGCTATTTGGTGCCTAATCTTTAATAATGGTTCTTATAATTAATGTCCTGTTTTTCACTGGGGTTTTACACTTACACAATTTACATGAGTATGAGGAAACAATAATGTTTGTGGCTTATGCCGAATGGAAATTTCCTTGTACCAAACTCTTAATCTTCTTATATATACCCAGATTTTCTTCATGGGGCACCTTTAAAACAAAAGAAAATGTTCTAGAGCCGCAAATCAGCATTTTAGAATGAATTTTGAAGGATCGTGTGATACTGTAGACTGGAATGATGAAAATGCAGGAATAAATACATCTGAAATATGTTTACATGAAAAAACATACTTCAAATTGAATATATATATATATATATATATATATATATATATATATATATATATATATATATATATATATATATATATGCGCTAACTTTAACTATAACTTATCAGGATTTGTCACTAGCACTACTTTTGCCTTACAAAACTAAATTTACTTTATAAATGCACCAGTAAAATAAGCACACATAGTATTACAATAATTTAAAGATTAAAATGAAGTAAAGAAAAACAAAGAAGCAGTAGCCAGATGTATTAGATAAGCAGAATATTCTTCAGTGTGACATAATCCTTTAATTGGTCCTAGAATTTACAGAGTATGAGGAAACAATGATGTTTGTGGCTAATGCTGAATGGCAATTTCCTTGTACCAAACTCGTATTCCTCTTCTTATTATTATAGGGCACCTTAAAAACAAAAGAAAATGTTTCAAGAGCCCCACATCAGCATTTTAAACGGAATTCTAAAGGATAGAGTGATACTGAAGACTGGAATAATGAAAATGCAGAAATAAAATGCATTTGAAAATTTTCTATATATATTGAAGTCAGAATTATTTGCCCCCTGTTTATTTTTTCCCCAATTTCTTTTCAACACATTTCTAAACATAATAATTTTAATAACCAATCTCTAATAACTGATTTATTTTATCTTTGCCATGATGACAGTAAATAATATTTCACCAGATTTTTTTACAAGACCCTTCTATACAGCTTAAAGTGACATTTAAAGGCTTAACTAGGTTAATTAGGTTAACTAGGCAGATTAGGGTATTTTGGCAAGTTAATGCACAGCGATGGTTTGTTCTGTAGGCTAAAAATATATAGCTTAAAAGGGCTAATAAATTTGTCCTTAAAATGGTTTATAAAAAAAAATTTAAACCGCTTTTATTCTAGCCAAAATAAAACAAATAAGACTTTCTCCAGAAGAAAAAATATTATCAGTCATACTGTGAAAATTCCCTTGCTCTGTTAAACATAATTTTGAGAAATATTTAAAAAGAAAAATGTATTATGATCCTGTACAGTATACTTATAACTTAAGATTGCACGATCTTAAGACCTGTTTGCTTGCTAGCTTTTATTTATAGCTTACGTAGTAATTAATTAACACATAAAAGAGGTTCTTACCGTGTTTCGCGGAACTGACAGACATTGAAAACAAATCGCACAGAAAAAAACAGCCTAAATTCATAGAAGAGGGTGGTGAGCCCGCAGAAAGGCTGTCAGAAATCTTGTCAGACCTGATCCTGAGAAGTAGGCCTAACTGAAGTGCATTGGGCTATACCCGAATGTGTTGTGTTTTTGTCCACCTGTGATGATGGGAAGGGTGTGGGCTGTGTCGTGCTGCAGTGCTACATATACAGGTATTACCTTACACCGGCGGAGACTGTAATGTGAGCTGGCTTGTAGCTAATTGAGAGGCCTGTATTTCATTTCACACATGCAGAAAATATTATATAATTATTAATATTGTTATTAATTATAAAAGTATCGTAAGGAAAACACGTTTAATTGCATGGTTTATAATGGAAATAATGGCTGTTTTAATCCATGCTATTACTCTGATTTACCAGGAGATGGTGTCATAACCTCATTTTCGAACTAGATCATAGCCTATTTGACCACTTCCCAGCAGTATGAACAGATGGATTGAATATTCAGTTTAAGCTAAATGTTTACTTGAAGTGTGTGACCATTAGACAGATTATTTGGTTATTTAACATTAAAAGTTGGTTAAGCTACAAGATTATTCTCATTTAATTACCACCGCTTTGTAAATGCCACAATGCCCAAATACTCGATGTTGAAAAAGGCATATATGATATATAAAGATTTGATTTATATTGTGAAAGGTTTATATTATATATGGCTCTAAAATAGGCTATTCATTTTAAAAAATTGTTTCAGTTGAGTTGCAATGTAGATACACTCACCGGCCACTTTATTAGGTACACCTGACCACCTGCTCATTAATGAAAATGTATAATAAGCCGATCACATGACAGCAGCTCAATGCATTTAGGCATGTAGACATGGTCAATACAATCTACTGCAGTTCAAACCGAGCATCAGAATGGTTCGAGCTGATCAAAGGCAACAGTAACTCTTGTTAGGTTTGCAGAAGAGCATCTCTGAATGCACAGCATGTCCAATCTTGAGGTGGATGGGTTACAGCAGCAGAAGACCACACCGGGTGCCGCTTCTGTTAGATAAGAACAGGAAACTGAGGATACAATTTGCACAGGCTGACTAAAATTGAACAATAGAAAATTGGAAAAACGATGATGAGTCTCGATGTCTGCTGCGACATTCACATGGTAGGGTCAGAATTTGGCATCACCAACATGTAAGCATGGATCCATCCTGCCTTGTATGTATAGTTCAGACTGGTGGTGGTGTAATGATGTGAGGGTTATTTTCCTGGCACACTTTGGGCAAATTAGTACCAATTGAGCATCATGTTAACACCACAGCCTACCTGAGTACTGGTGAGGGATGCTGGGATGCTGACCATGTCCATCCCTTTATGACCACAGTGTACCCATCTTCTGATGACTACTCCCAGCAGGATAAACCGCCATGTCATAAAGCGTGAATCATCTCAGACTGGTTTTTTGAACATGAAAATGAGTTCACTGCACTCAAATGGCCTCCACAGTCACCAGACTCAACCCAATAGAGCACCTTAGGGATGTGGTTGATGATTTGCATCATGGATGTAACTTATTACATTTTCCCCCAAACATTTCATTTTAATATTTTATTTCTTTATTCTCATTTGTATGTATTATATATATTTATTTTAAATACATTTTTGAATCATTTATAGACTATATATGATTTGATTAAATTTTTATTATTACAGTATATTTATCAGGTAATTGTGTGTGTGTGTGTGCGTGTGTGTGTGTGTGTGTGTGTGTGTGTGTGTGTGTGTGTGTGTGTGTGTGTGTGTGTGTGTGTGTACGTGTGTACGTGTTTTTGTGACATATCAGAACACAAATCTGTATAATGACATGGGTATGACACAGGTTTTACAAAAAGGTGGTGAAATATGAGGACATTGGTGACGTCCTCATTTCTCAAAACGCTTATAAATCCTACAGGATGAGTTTAATCAGAGAGTAAAGCTGCACACACTCTCCTGTGATGGTTGGGTTTAGGGGTGGGGTGGGGTGAGGGCAATACAATATACGGTTTGGACAGTATAAAATGAATGGAAACCTATGTACTGTCCCCACTTTTCACAAAAACAAACATGTGTGCGTGCGTGAGTGCGTGCGCGCGTGTGTGTATGTTTGTGTGTTTGTGTGTGTGTATAATATGTATTATCTTTTTATACTATCATTGGTCATTTATCTTAATATATTTTATTGTTTTTATATCAAATAAACTATATGATTTTTTTTCTAAAATGTATCTTGTCGCCTCCATTTGCAGAAAACAAATCATATTTGGTGTTTTACATTTTACAGTATGCTGCAATAATCACACACGACAGATAACAATATCTATGACAAATTATCTTCGTAAATGTAAATCGCGTGAGAAGATTCAAGATGATTGGTCAAGACGCATCACCGGGGGGAAAAGTGACATCTATCCTCCATAACCATTCAACACTGTTTATGGCCCACGTGACTGCACTCACCAAATCATCGTCCACCTTTACTGACCGGAATTGTCGCCTGGTTACTGGAGCTCTATGGTAGAGGAGAGCTAGCCGGCTAGCAGCGTCTCTCAACCCTTTCTCCCTTTGTCACGGTATTCACATCTACCGTCAGCTCTTTGTAAGTATCTGTTTTATATAATATGTACGTTTTTTCCCTGTCATTTATAAACACCTAGATAAAAGATGAAACTTGAACTTCAGCGTGTATTTAAATATATACGCATTTAGCGGCTAAAACACGCTAGCCGGACAGGAGCGAACTAATCTCGTAAAACATTTGGCACTTTTGAAATAATAATGTACCTTTGGGTTGTATTGACAGCTTATAATGTGACATATAAACATGTAATACCGAGTTAAACTGTCAAATAATAACAATCTCGTTGAAATTGACTTTAATTAGGAAAAGCTGGATTTCATGTTAACGCAACAAGGCACTGGACATAATGCTGCTCCTGTAGAAATTAAGCAAATACGTATTTTAGAATTTTGATATTTGATTTATATGTCTTTTTTTAAATCAGTCCTTTACACATTTAAATTAATGTGTTGTCAGCAAATGTGGTAGCCCATTGTGTGCTCTGCATTAAATGTCTTTGTCTTTCTCCCCAAATTATATATACATTTTTGTTGACTCCACCTCATGTCGTTCTAATCCAAAACATAATTTAATATATTCTGTGGAAAACAACACAAAGGCAGGCAAAATTACATCTTCGGTCACCATTCACCAAAAACATGCAATGATGGTAAATGTTGACTGAGGCTGTCATTCTGCTAAACCTTTGTTTTCCACAGCAGAAAGAAAATTATAGGCGATTGAATAAACATCAAGGTGTGTAACTGATATATTTTTCGTTGTGTGAGTGTTTGCATGTGTGAGCTATCCCTTTAAGAATGAGATAATGGTCAAAAAATAGAATGGATTATGCACGTGTCAAAGGAGATGCATCTCTGCATTTTTATGTTTAAACTTTTATGAGTGATCTGGTGATTTCCCAAAATTTGAATGCATTCTCAAATGTTTTATTTGGCTTGTATATATCCTAAGATGGTTTCAGCTGTTTTCAGTCCAGGAGGAAAGTCTTTAATTCATTTAGTCATAAAATAAATATAGCATGCACAAAATAAACCATCAGTATTTTTGTTTTGGGTACAAATACATTCCTAAATAGGGGTGCTTTAAATTACATGGATTGATGTAGTTTCTCATTGTATGATAATCTTGGATAAAAATACCATGGTTTCATGTTATCACTGTATTATGATTACTGCTCTAAAGTAAGTTCTTTTTAAATGTCTAAGTAAAACAAACAAACAAAAAAAAAACTTAACTTCTTCTCTTCATTGAACATAATTTATTTTATTTTAAGAAACCTTTTTAGTATTTTGGAACTGTTAGTATGTCAGGCTAAATAATTAAAATAGATCATTGAGTTTTGTTAGTTTCAAAAACACAGATTTCTTTACAGTACATAAAAAAAAACATTTAAAAAAATCATATACCTTAGGAATCGTATAACAACAAACAGTATTAAAACCTTGACTTTTTCAAACCGTGGTAAACCTTGAAAGTGATTATCGTCCCATGCCATATTTACATGTTCAGACTTTCTCCTTAATAATATAATAAAAAAAAAGTATTCTTTGCAAATTCTAAATGGTAATATCTAGGGCTGCACAATCGTTTCAGCATTGGTATTGCAATGTGCAAGTCTGCAATAGTCACATCGAAGGGATCTGCAACTTAGCTGGGATTATAGTTGACCAGACAATTACAGTTAACAACATAGTGGAATCATTTCAAATTTGAACCATCGGGTGAAAGTTTATTATTTGCAAGTTTTTAAGCCCTGACTGAAAGAGTTTTGAGCAAACTTAAACATTTGGGCACAATAGGTTTAACAATCATAGCTTAAAGGTTACATTTGCATTTCATTAAATGAATATAGTGTTATTATTGTTATTATTATTAATATTGTTGCAATTATTATATTATTATCTGAATACTGTTTGACCCCCCAGAAAATCATAGTTTATTTGCATTTTTTGTTCATTGTATATATCTATGCTTGTCATTTTTTAAATGATATTTTACAAAGATATGCTCCCCTACAGCATCATCCCAGTCTATCTAAAATGATGAATTCCTTACATTCTATTGAAGTCATCTGGTAAAATTGTATTATATTGCAATATATATAGCAGTAAAAAAAAAAAAAAAAAAAAAAAAAAAAAAAATATATATATATATATAGCAGTTAAGTCATCTGGTGAAATTGTATTTATATCGCAATATATATAACTGTAAATGAAAATATTGCAATATCAGTTGCAATGTCAGTTTATTCTTATGCTTATGCTTCAATATCGTGCAGCCCTAGTGAAATCATATTATCAGCCAATGACTATTAAAGAACAACATTGTTCACAGTGAAATCAATAGTGCTAATGTTGTTTTTAACTCATACTTGCATGTAATTTAAGCTCGAATATTCAAAGTACCATGGTAAACAATAGCGTGTGACAAGTTGTCACTAAACGAATGTGCAAATCTAAAACCAACTTTACCTTAACTTTACTTGGGATGTGAAATTAAATCTCGTTTTATGACATTTAACATAACTCGATTTGTTTAAACAAGAACAAATATTTGTTTCCAAGTAATTAAAATAACTTTTCTTGTAATTATATTAAGTATTTTTTGAGGTCTCTGGAGTATATTTGTTCTTGTTTAAATTAGGGAGGCACAATATATTGTTTCAGTATCGATATCCCAATGTGAACATTCGCAATTACATCGTGAGTATACGCAAATTTGAGTCTGGATTATAATCACTGTATACTTGGATACATTTTGACTCTTCAGAATACAATACAGTTTTTTTAATTGCCATATTTTTATTTATTGAATTTATCTGTGCTTATAGATTGTTTTTTTTTTATATAATTTATGCACTCTAATGAATCTCTTCAATCTAAAATGATAAATTCTTTACAAACGTTTATTCAACTCATCTAGTAAAATTGTATATATACTGCAATAAATATTGCATAGTACAAAAATGTATGTAATTTTTCCAGTATTGTGCAGCCCTACTTTTATTCATAAGCCTGCTTCATTTGAATCTATTTTAAGAAAATGTCTTATGCCTTTGTCATTTTGCTTCCCCTGTAAACCTAAAAAAAACTTAGTGCCATGATCAGGTACAGGGAGGGAAGAGTCATTCAAAACTTAAGCTACTTATTTTTTTGTAAAATAAAAATATATCAAGATAGGTAAAAATTATATTATTTAAAATAAATGTTAAATCAATATACTGTAAAATGTTGAAATATTGCGAAGACTAATGCATGTTCTATATCACTTTACATTCGCTAGTCTATTGCCATATTGTGTTTCCTTCAGATTATTCATCAAATTGTACTTGGTCTTTGCCTGGCCTTAAAAAAAATCTTAAATTGAACTTTATTAGACCTGTTAGCAAAAGCTTGTATAATACCAGTCTGGACAAATACACAATTCAGGAATGAAGAAAAGTTTAGTCCTTATACTTATTTTCTTTTTTTTAGGTGCAAAGGAGAGACAGTCACGAATGGTGAAGATAGAATGCAGAGTTCTCAACTTGTTTTCTGTTCACTTATTGAAGGTAAGTGCAAACGATACTGCTTGTTAGATATTTTTCACTTACGCAATATACACAAACACGCCTGTATGTTTTTATAATGAGAGTTCATAATCCATCCAGTGCCCAAAGTCAATATCAACTGCAGTAGAATGAGGTCTCTCTTTGGCTGTAGGCTATATCCGGTAATCGTTCGGTGTTAATGGTGACACGTTTTGATTCACTGCACTTGCTGGTTGTTGTGAGCCTTTAGGATCCACTGCCCTGGTTATTTATTGGTCACCATCCTCTTTCCTCTTCCAGGCTGCACATTTATGGCGTTTGTCAGTGTGAGTGGAGACTTCTGCCAGGCACAGCACCTGGTCATTGTAGACAAGTGAACAGAGGGCCTGCCATATGAAGATTATACTACCTGACTGCCCGTCTTACATTCTGCACTTTTGGGGAGCATCTTTTTTTGTCCAAAGTTGAAGTGTATGAATTAATTTGAGCCAATCAAGGTACTAGAGAGTGAATTGTTTTGTTTTTTTTCGCTCACTCTAGTGCCAACTGATCATCTCTTCTTTCCTGAATGGGGTAATTATAAATTGTGAACCAGAAGGATCGTCCCCTTCTTTAGTTTTATTTTAAAGCTGTTGGAGCGAGAACGTGGTTTACCTTTTTAGAACATTCAGTGATTTGCCTTAAAGTCAAATTGTTTAAACGCTTTGGAGTTGTTGACTCTTCCCTGTAAAACAATCGGAAGTTGTTGCTTTTTTCCTTCAATAAGTACAATTATAAATCATTTGAGTGTCAAAATGAATCGCCCCGCTCCTGTTGAGATCACTTATGAATGCATGAGGTTTCTCATCACCCACAATCCCACCAACTCACAGCTGGCCAAGTTTACAGAGGTAGGTTTCTAAGTGGTTAATATGAATAGCAATATTTACATGATCGTCAAAGTTGAACATGACTTCATTTGTCGATCTCTTTCAGGAGCTAAAGAGTTTTGGGGTGCAGACTCTGGTTCGGGTTTGTGAGTCAACTTATGACAAAGCACCGGTGGAAAAAGAAGGCATTGAAGTTTTGGTGAGATGTACTATTTTTATTACATTAAAAAAATTTTGTGATATAAAAGTTTTTGTTAATTGCTCGCATAAGGAAGAAATCATGTCATGGCCTCATTTATCAAGAGTGTTTAAAATGTTCAATATTTAGTTCTACGAATTACATTTCGAATGGGCCCAAGTACAAGTAAATCCATATTTATCAAACACGCACACACAGTTTTTATGCACGTGAGTAAGCAATCATTGATCAGTCACACGTGCAAGGTTACCATGCTCGTTCAGGTTTATGGTTATTAGCTTTGGGAACCTCTTTAATAATAAAACATGTATGGTGACCACACTTCTCTTTTAAAATCATGTGAATGTATTTTTTTGTCACCATAAAACTGTCAAAGAAAAGGAATTTCACAAAACACTGAATAGGCTATATGCACAGGGTTTTTTCATTTCAGCCAGCCAGTCTTAGCGCTTTCGGTGAACTGCCTTTCTGTTATAAAATAAAATAAAAAATCAGTGATCTTCACTGCCTGATAGATTTACGATATGAAGTGGGTCTCAGTCATGACAAGAAGCTTTTCTGCACTTGACTGCTGATACTGAGCGCTAGTTGGTTACACAGTCTTTCATCTTTTTTGGTGCTTGAACAACTAAATGAATGCTTAAGTCTATTTTACTGAATGCATTGTAATTACATTACAACATCGATGCTGTAAAAGGAACCTTATGAACAGGCACGTGCACACATAGGGCTCAACCTGTGCAGTGCACATTGCCTTTTTAGTCATGGATAGAAAGTGCCCTTCCAAAATTATCAAAAGTGCCCCTGTGACGCGACACACCCTCCGTCCCGCCCTTTAGTAGGCGCGCGACAACACCGCTCTTGAGTACGCGTGCTCAACCCCCCCCTCCCCCGCTTTACAGTACACGCGCGACAACACAGCTGATCAGAACGCGCGCGACGACACCGCTCTTCAGTACGCGCGCGACAACAACAACAACAGCAACAACAACTGCCCCCCCCCCCCCCCCCCCCCCCCCCCCACTCTTCAGAAAAATTATCCTGCACAGGCCCTTTGGATGGTCTCTGCACGGGCCTGCTTATGAAACTGAAAATAGTCACATTACGCTTTCAATGGAAGTTCATCATTGGCTGCAAAACACAAGCTGTGCATAGAGCCCATTAAAGATATTGGCAGATTAAGTTGAATCCAACCAACAAGTATTATTTAGTTCACTAAGAAGATCCCCAATGCAGTTATTTCAACTGGGTCTGAAGAGAGAACTGTCCCAGAAAAAAAAAAATCATAAACATTTATGACAAATTATTAATTAAGTGTTTTATAATTAAGGGAAACTGGACATGCATGGATTGCTTAATGCATACTGTGATACTCAGTGTTGGGGGTAACGCATTACAAGTAAAAAGAGTTACATAATAATGTTACTTTAAGTAACGAGTAAAGTAACGCATTACTTTAAAAAAAACAAGTAATAGTATTTGACTTACTTTTTAGTTTAATTAATTAGCTTTCAGAAAAAAATTGAATTAAAGTGAAATTAGTCACAATAGCTGTGCTTTATCCAAAAATCCAAATGAACTTTATGCACAAAACTGGAATAACAAATAAAATATATGCAAATAAAGCAGCGTTTCCATCCAACGAGTCAAAGAGAACAAAATCATCACTTCCTCAGTAACTGGCACCAAATATCAACGGTAAAAACGTAATTTGCTGTGGTAGGAGAAGCTGAATCAACATCAAATCTTTAAAATCACATGATCTCTTACAACAAAATTACATGACTTTTTTTTAATTAATTTTTTTTAATGTAGCTAATAAATCACGAAGTCAATGAGAGAATGTGTTCATTGTTTTGCTTTAAACTTTCAATAATCTGTATATACGGCTTCTATAGCTCTGGGGTCAGGAAGTTCTCAGATAACATTATCCTAAAAAAATTTTTTTTTTTTTTTTAAAGGTTAATATAGGTGTAGGTTTTGCAGTGTGTCGCTGTGAGCAGAACTCCTTTATTAAAAAAGGTTTATGAAACAAGTCCTGAAAGAGTTCAAGCCTCAGCCTGATAATAAAAAGTAACTCAAAAGTAATGTAATACAACTAGTTACTTCTTTTGGGTAGTATCTCAATATTGTAATCCACTACTTTTAAAAGTAACTTTTCCCCACACTGGTGATGCTTTTTATGTGTAGTTTGCAATTATACCACTAGCTTCTCTTTGTAAGTATGCTCAGGAGTGTATTTACACTTGTACACATTTGTATGTTTAAGTACAAGTTGGTTCACCCCATACTTTAACTGCTCTTATGAACACATCTGTGCACACACACTCTTAACAAGTACACAGAAATCATTTTTCTTTTTAAAAGGGTGTCTAATAAATGTCTTAACATAGTCGTCTTCGATAAAACAAAGCTACATTTGGGCTGTCAGTGAAAATCGAATAGACGTCTAAGAATAGGCCAAAACTAGACTAGTCATCAAATAAACAGAAATGAATGACGCCACATATAAAGTCTGTCTATTTGACGTCTAGTCTAGTTTTGGACTATTCTTAGACGTCTATTCGATTTTTACTGAGAGCTCAAATGTAGCCTTGTTTTAGCCAAGCTGTCTATGTTTAAAGGTCTATAAGATGTCTATTAAACAATTGTTTGCTGGGTAAGTCCAGATTCTTACATTAACCAATAATTAGGAACCTTTACAGTAGAATAATTGGTACTTTGAATTTAAATGTACACTGTGTTTTCTTTTAGGACTGGCCTTTTGATGATGGTTGTTCACCACCTGAGCAAATTGTTGATGACTGGTTGAATCTTCTCAAATGTAAATTTAAAGATGAACCAGGCTGTTGCATTGCAGTACATTGCGTCGCTGGATTAGGGCGGTAAGTGCTATCAGATCAAATGCCGTACAATTAAGTTTACTGATATGAAATGTTAGTTTGTGGACGTCTCTGTGCTGTTACCCAGTGTCATTTTAAAGTTATCTTAGAACTGATGTGCATGGACATGTTAATCTTTTGGAACGGTTTGTGTTGTAATGGTGTGAAACTCGGCTTTTATCTACAGTGCATCTGAAAAGTATTCATAGAGCTTCACTTTTTCCACATTTTTTAATGTTACAGCTTTATTCCAAAATGGATGCAATTAATTAATTTCCTCAAAATTCTACACACAATACCCCATAATGATAATGTGAACAAAATAGTTTTTGAAATTGTTACAAATTTATCCAAAATAAAAAACCTGAAAAATCATATGTACATAAGTATTCACAGCTTTTGCTGTGAAGCTCTAAATTGAGCTCAGGTACATTCTGTTTTCACTGATCATTCTTGAGATGTTCCAGCAGCTTCATTGGAGTTCACCTGTGGTCAAATCAGTTGATTTGGTCATGATTTGAAAAGACATACACCTGTCTAAATAAGGTCCCAGGGTTGACCTTAAACCAAGCATAAAGACAAAGGAATTGTCTGTAGACCTCCGAGATAGGACTGTCTCGAGGCACAAGACTAGGGAAGGTTAAAAAAAAGTTTCTGCTTCTCTGAAAGTTCCAATGAGTACCGTGGACCGTAAGTGGAAGATGTTTGGAACGACCAGGACTCTTCCTAGAGCTGGCCGGCCATCTAAACTGAGTGATCAGGGGAGAAGGGCTTTAGTCAGGGAGGTGATCAATAACCCCATGGTCACTCTGTCTGAGCTCAAGCATTCTTCTGTGGAAAGAAGAGAACCGTACAGAAAGTCAACCATCTGTGCAGCAATCCACAAATCAGGCCTGTATTCTAGAGTGGCCAGATGGAAGCCACTCCCCGTCTTGAATTTGCCTAAAGGCATCTGAAGGACTCTCGACTATAAGAATCAAAATTCTCTGCTCTGATGAGACTAAAAAAAAAACTCTTTAGAGTGAATGACAGGCATTACGTTTGGAGAAAACCAGGCACCGCTCATCACTCGGCTAATACCATCCCTACAGTAAAGCATGGTGGTGGCAGCATCATGCTGTGGGGATGTTTTTCAGCAGCAGGAACTGGAAGACTAGTCAGGATAGAGGGAAAGATGAATGCAGCAACGTACAGAGACATCCTGAATGAAAACCTGCTTCAGCGTGCTCTTGACTAGAGATCTGCGCGGGACTAAATTTTGAATCCCGCTCCCGCCAGGTTTTAGCCCGAACCCGACCGCTCCCGCTTAAATTAAGCACTTGTTGTCCCGCTGCCCGACCCGCCCCGTTTTCTACCCGCCACGCCCGATCCCGCTAAAGAGGGGAGGGAGAACAAAACCGAAAATCACCCAGTTATACGGTCCAGACAGCCTATAACAAGCTGTCTGTATAAACACACACACGCACAGCACCAAGCACACACACACAGACAAAGCTCTCTCTCGCTCTCTCTCTCTCATTCGCGCGCGCACTAACACACACACACACACACACACACACACACACACACACACATATAAGCACCAAGCACACACAGAGGCAAAGCTCTCTCATTCACGCACGCGCACACACATCTCTCATTTTCGCGTGCGCATACACACACACAAACAAGCTAAACACAGCATCGCGCTATTTCATTTACACACATACATACGCGTGCTCACTCGGGAGTCGGGAGCGATATTGCTAGACAGCCCGCTCCCATCCCAAATTAAACCCGTTACCGACCGCTCCCGTGATTTATTCGGAAATTTATACCCGCGCCGCAGAAATCTGGTCGGCGCCTGCGGGACAGCCGCGGGAATGCAGACCTCTACTTTTGACCTCAGACTGGGGCGATGGATCATCTTCCAGCTGGACAATGACCCAAAGCACACAGCCAAAATATAAATGGAGTGGCTTCGCAACAACTCTTTGAATGTCCTTGCGTGGCCCAGACCTAAACCCTATTGAACATCTTTGGAGAGATCTGAAAACGGCTGTACACCATCGCTTCCCATCCAACCTGATAGAGCTTGAGAGGTACTGCAAAGAGGAATGGGCAAAAATTCCCAAAGGTGTGCCAAAGGCTGTAATTGCTGCCAAAGGTGCATCAACAGAGTATTGAGCAACACTTGAATGTGAATACTATTGTACATGTGATTTTTTTTTCAGGTTTTTTATGTTAATAAATTTGCAACAATTAAAAATATATATTTTTTCACATTGTCATTATGGGGTAGTGTGTGTAGAATTATGAGGAAATAAATTAATTTAATCCATTTTGGAATAAAGCTGTAACATAAAAAATTGTGGGAAAAGTGAAGCGCTATGAATACTTTCCCGTTGAACTGTAGATCAGGAAATAGGAAATGTCCTATATAAAAAGTGACCTGACTCAACTGAGTTTGGTTTTCAATTAAACTTTTATTTTTATTTTTTTGGCGATCAGAGCTCCTGTCTTGGTGGCCATAGCCTTAATCGAATGCGGGATGATGTATGAAGATGCAGTCCAGTTTATTCGTCAGTAAGTCACGAAAATGACCTGTCTATTCTTTAACTGTAGAATATGATTTTGTTGGTCATTGTGTGATTTGGCCGATCATTTCTCTTTCAGGAAAAGACGCGGGGCTTTTAACGCCAAACAACTTATGTATCTTGAGAAATACAAACCCAAGATGCGGCTGCGCTTCAAGGATGCCAATGGTCAAAATTGCTGCATTCAATAAAGAAACATTTGTTCAAAGGATCTATTGACATAATTATTATTGTTAGTGTTGTTCTGATCGGGTTTTGTTTAATTATTATATTGGACCAGGAGTTTGCTGTACAGTGCCAAGCACACAAACAGGTTACACAGTATTAGTGTTTTCCTTTTTTTTGATGGCCAGGCAATCCAGCCAATCATGCAAACTCACAGGCTAAGCGGCGTATCACTAGTGATGTTTTTCATTGTGACAAACACATGGGTATAATGACCGACTGCAGTTGTTAGTGTTTTATTCCCTCTCTGAACCTAGGTGTCCTCCCCAGTTGTCTGGATTGTGTAACAACATCCTGCAGTAAGTGAAAAAATCACTTTGTTGGTGCTTCTCTTGAAGTCTGTCAGCTTCTCCAAAGTTATATGGGCACAACTACTGTATCTAATGTTCTAGATATGAAACATTCCAAGGCATATTCACAAAACTGTTGGACACTAGAGTTATGACATGGGACAGACGAATGAAATCCTAGAAAATCCAATCAACAAAACCTCTTCCGCTCACTGATTGTGAAATGAGTCAAATTCAAATAAAAAATTAAATAAAAATGTTGCTGTCGTTCTTTTTTTTTTCCTTTAACACCAAATTTACTTTAATACAAGTTGAAGTGTACAGTCTTGTTTGTTCTACCATTGTCAAATTGTAAAACAATATATTTTTTTTAATGTTTCATATCATTGTTGTCCATTTTTCCGGGGCTGGGTCGTGGGGGCAGCAGTCTTAGAAGAGAACTCCAGACTTCTCTCTCCCCAGACACTTCCACCAGCTCTTCTGTGGGGATCTCGAGGCGCTCCTAGAACAGCTGAGAGACATAGTCCCTCCAGCAGCGTGTCCTGTGTCTTCCAGGCCTATGGGAACACCTCCTTAGGTTGGTGGTGTTATGCAGATTCTAGCTCCAACTTGCCTCAACACACCTGCAAGGATGTTTCTAGAAAGCCTAGTAAAAGCTTGATTTAGCTAGCCTAGGTGTGTCTGATTTGGGTTGGAGCTAAAATCTGCAGGACACAAGACCTCCAGGACCGAGATTGAAAAACCCTTGTCCAGGAGGCATCCGAAAACAGATGCCCAAACCACCTTAGCTGACTTCTGTTGATGTGGAGGAGCAGCGGCTCTACTCCGAGCTCCTCCCAGATCACAGAGCTTCTCACACTATCTATAAGCGTGCGCCCTGCAACCTGTGAAGGAAACTCATTTCAGTATCCGAGATCTTGTCTTTTCGGTCTTGACCCAAAGCTCATGACCGTAGGTGAGAGTAGTAATGTAGACTGACCAGTAAATCAAGAGCTTTGCCTTTCGGATCAGCTCCTTTACCACAACAGACTGATACATCGACTGGACGACCGCATTGCTGCTGCACCAATCCGCCTTTCAATGTCACGCTTTATCTTTCCCACACTCTTGAGCAAAACCCCAAGATACTTGAACTCCACCTGGGGCAAGGACTTTCCTTCAACCTGGAGATGGCAAACCACCTTTTTCTGGTAGAGCACCATTTCCTTTCTCTAATGTATATAAGATAAATGCTATTTTATTAGTAATATTCTTTATATATCTATATAGACCTACAGATTTATTGTTGAGAAAAGTATCATGTTAAATCTAATGTTCAACAAGTCTTTAAGAATCTTTCAGCAGAATATTTCGAGCATGTTTACTTTTCTTTCTGTGGTACTTTCTTATCTTGACCACGAGTCGGTGCAATCCAGATTCACAGTGACAAGACAATCAAATGGATGTTTCCTGACCGCGAATCATACTATGGTGAAGGCTGGCTTTATGAATATTAATAACGTTGTCTAACCGATACTTTACGAAGTAGGGAACGTCAGTACTGTGTATTTGATTAACACGAGCTAGCTAAACTTTCGCAGTAGAATAATTGGTACTTTCGTTGTCCAAACAGCTGTAGATATATGGCAAGTAGCTTTAACATTTATTCCTGAAAATTTATATATATATATATATATATATATATATATATATATATATATATATATATATATATATATATATATATATATATATAGACCATTTTGAGGGATGAAAACAAAAGCAATGGTTCTGTTTTACATTAATTTCTATAGCTTCTGAAAATCCAAAAATAGCCAAATATTGACATAATGTTATGATAGCTGTTTAACATGGAGTTTTGATTGAATTGCTTCTTGTTACAGTTATGAAATGGTTTTATAACAAGCAGGAAATGTTCATGGGCCAATGACACATTACGTTACTTATTCATTTACTCACTTCATTCGTTATGTATTCCTGTCGTTGCGGTATATATTTTCTGTCATTATTAGTAGCCCACTTGTTTAGCTTCTAGTAAAGTCACCTCTAATCCATCCCTTTACCTATTTATTTTAAAACCGACTTAATTGTGAGATATAAATTCAGATAAGAGATCGCAGAATTGCGGGAAGACATAAACAAATTGTAAGAAATAAAACCCAAATTCTGAGGAAAAAAATATGATGGAAATTCTCTGGATTGTGTGAAAGTATGTTTGAATCCTTGAAAGTTTCACAGCTTATACCTTTTATATATATATATATATATATATATATATATATATATATATATATATATATATATATATATATATATATATATATATATATATATATATATATATATCATTATACAAACTAATTATTCTGAGGAAAAATGTCATAATTATCACCTTTTCAAGTGATGTCATTGGCCCATCTGCTTGTGATCGAAGTGTTTCATAACTGCAACAATTCAGTCATAACAACGTTAAATCAGTCATACATTATTTATCAACATGTTGCTCTTTTTGGATTCTGTGAAGCTTTAAAATTAAAAAATTGAATAGGACCAATATGCTGGGACCATTGTTTTTGTATACATCCCAAATGGTCTAAACACTTTTGTTGGAAATTGTCGGAATAAAAAGTCGCAACCTACCATTTTAATCTCTGGAGTGGAAACAAGCAAACATTCTTTAAATAATACATAAGTATGATTCAACCAAACTTAAATAATCAGTTAACGCTAAAATGGCTTGCCATAAAAACCTGCACAAAACACCGAAGCCAGTGGATTGGGACGCCGTTGTGACGTAAATGACCCAGTTCAGATGGCGCATCCTTTCTCCACATTCACAGGACAAAACTCATAACGCGCTGACTGAGAGCTTGAATAACACTATTAATAAATTAATTTATAGTCCATTCTTCTTTTGGAAGTTTAACATAGACGTTCATGTTTATATATTGGTCGTTCTGTTTGATTTCGCCGTCTTGCAATCATGATGCCGGTAAGTTTGTTAGAGCTGATGATACTTTACCGCCTCAGAGCTGTCAGTCAGAAGGATGATGGACAACTCTGTCTCAACATTCATTCATAAATTCATAACTCGTAATATTGAGCTGGACTACGGGGTTCCGTTAAATCATTCATTGAATGAGTGAGAATGTGAAGAATCGAGTTAGCGAGACATGTAGAAGATAAAAAATCTCTGATTTATATGGCTGTATAATGGATTTATATTGTGTGGTGATTCTTATAATTTAAATGTTATTGGTTACCGTTATATTAAGCGCTTGATGCTGAACGCATTCAACTTTCTTTAAAATATTCTTGAAAGCTGAAAACAATCCCAATCATATGTATAGAGAGGTCTCATGAAATATTCGGACACATTTAAACAGCTAAAATGCATTTATTCCGTATTAATAGCGATAATTTTGTTTAAGATTGAAAAGAATTGCGATATTTCATGCATTTCAGAAGAACTTATACAACAGCCTTTAAACAGTTTACAATCGCTTTTGGCTAAATGGCTTAAAGTTCATGTACAATAGCATCATGCTTTGATATTTTGGCCATTTATTGGTCATATATGTTTAATATAATTTTATAATATAATATAAAAGTAAACTTGTTGTTAATAGGTATGCCTTATAGAACTTTGGGTATTTCCAGTTTATAGCATGCTAATAATAAAAAGTACAAAAAACAACCACCACAATAATGCAAGTGCTTTAAGACAACTACAAATAAATCCAACATTATGGATGTGACATTTGCTGTAAAATCCCAAAACATAAAATCACAGAGAAAGTATGTCAACATTATATTGAACGATTGGTTTATATTTTCCAAAACAACTGACCACAGAGTTAGAAGATCAGAAAAACTTCAATCTGTAAACATTTTTCATATTTTAAATGAGGAAAATAATCATGTGATTTGGATGTGACCAGAGAAGTCTGTGAGTTTACAGCATACAACATACTTTGCAAAAATTCTGTGATTTAAACTCGACAACCCAAAAAACATTGCTAATCAAAAGGATAAGAGTTGACTCACTGTAGAACAAAAATGATTGATTTTATTTTGTTTGACCTTTTTTGCATTTATAAGGAAAAAGCTCTGTTATGGATGTGACTGATGTGAAATTGCCACTTGTGTGACTTTGGTAAATCAAATTTAATTGTTTGAAAACATTAACAGGGAAATTTTGAGTGGTTTTAAAGTGCTGTAAAATTCTTGCTTACACAAAAAACTCATGACGAAAATGTTTTTTTCATGGCAAGGTTGACATTTGCATGGAATTGCTCCTATCACAGTACCGTGGTGCTTATGGGTTTTGGCGTATTGGTTAAATCACTGCATTTGTCTGACATATTAGACTGGTATAGTATGGATTTTAATATTAAATATTAAAGTTATGACTCATGAGCATTTGAATGAATTAATTTGAGCATTTCAGATTTTCACTATAGGCACAAAAAGAATTTGCATGTATTTACGTATGCCTTGTTTAAAAATCACTAAATTGGATTTTTTAAAATGTAAGCAAAATGTTTTTGTAGTTTACTTGGGCTGTTGTGCAACAAGTGTGTGCATTAAAGAACTTGAACACTTTTACATTCACAATCATTTAGCAGATGCTTTCATCCAAAGGTTTGATTAATAATTATGGTAAAAATAAAGAGGGAAAAAGTGGTTAGCACTGTCACCTCACAGCCAGAATGTCTCTGGTTCAAGTCCTGGCGTGGATTTCCCCCGAGTGCTCTGGTTTCCCCCACAGTCCAAACAAATGCGCTAGGTGAATTAAATAAACTAAATTGGAAAGGCTACTGGCTACTGGAAAGGCATCCGCCGTGTAAAACATATGCTGGATAAGTTGGTGGTTCATTCCACAGTGGCGACTCCTGATAAATAAAGCAACCAAGTCAAAGGAAAAAGAACGAATGAATGCAAGACTAAATAGTTTAAAAGTTCTCTTTATTTTGATACTTTAACCAATTTTCTTTGATTTGAATTAGTTTCTCTCACACTAGTTAAACAAAGAAATTCATAATTATAATACTATTATTATTTAATTCATATAATATTACCATTCCAGATTAGGCAAGTATAGAGTCTAGATGCAAAAACCTCCAAATTTTCTTTTAAAATTAGCTTTTTTTTCTCCGACTCCTATGAATAGGCTTAGTAATTTTACTTTTAAAGTTACAAACAAGTTATTTTCATTGCCTTGAAAGTTAAATAACTCAACAAACATAGGAGCCTC